TATTTCCTACTTAGGTGGTTAGATTAGAGAATTTAGATTAGGTGGTTAGATTAGGGAATTTAGATTAGGTGGTTAGTTTAGGGAATTTAGATTAGGTGGTTAGATTAGGGAATTTAGATTAGGTGGTTAGTTTAGGGAATTTAGATTAGGTTGATTTAATTTTTTTAACTGTTTTTTTAAATGATACTAGTATATTAATGATACTAGTTGTCGAGTCGGGATGACGACTTCGTTCGTCAATTTAACGAGCAACATCCGTAGTTTAGTTTTTTTTTTCTCTTAAATTGTATATGAATTTAAAACTTAAATATTTAGTTATTTTTTTTTATTTATAATTTGGATTCTTTAATTTTTTTTAAATATATTATTTATATTTATTTTAATTATTTTTTTAATAGGGAAAAATATTTCAAAGTAAATTCCTAGTAAAGCATTACTAGGAAATTACGAGGAAAGTGGAAAAACATTTCGAAGTAAATTCCTAGTAAAGCATTACTAGGAAATTACGTGGAAAGTGGTTACTAGGAAATTACGAGGAAAGTGGTTACTACGAAATTACGAGGCAAGGGGTTACTAGGAAATTACGAGGAAAGTGGTTACTACGACTTTACGAGGAAAAAGGCTCTACGATGAACGTGTTTCGACGAAACGCGTTTCCTCGTAAGTTCCTAGTAAAAGGCCATTTACTAGGAACTAACGAGGAAAACCTGCCCTAGTAATGGACGAGTTTTCTTGTAGTGCTAGACACTGTCTAAACCGATTTTTAGAACACCGGACTGAAATGATAATGGTTAGAAGGACTTTGCTAGTCGCCTGAGCATGAGCTGGACCTAAGAAACCTGAGAAGTAGAAGCAAACAAAGAAGTTGCGTGGTTTACAAATGCAATATTTATATTATATGAGCTAATAAAAATGTATCTATATTTATCTGAAATACCAAAGATCTAAAACTCTGTAATTATCAGAAAATAACAATGAAATTACCATAAACCTCAAAAAGAGAATAGAATAGAAATCTAAAAATAGCGCAAGATGATTAATGAAAGATAATAGTAGTCAACGGAAAGTGATCCAATTGATTCGGTGTTCTAAAATAACAAAACCAAAACAAGAAATTAATAAACAAAAACAAATTCTTTTTTTGCTATCATTATTTTTGGGTGCCTTTGTCAAATACTTGCTTTTTCATTTTCACCTTCATGCATTGCTTTCCTTCGTCGTCCCCTCCAAGGACGACGACGGATCTGTCTTTGTATCCACAGAAATAAAAAAAATTCAATCTCTCCCTTTCCTTTGATTTTACTGATATTAGTTTTGTCAAGAAAAAAAAATGTCTTTTCTTGAGCCTAGTCAAATTTTGGAGATGAACATTATATCGGCTCAGGAATTGGCCCCCGTGGCGCGGTGTATGAAAACATATGCCATAGCTTGGATTGACCCGGAACGTAAACTAACAACACGGGTCGATAACACGGGCGGAACAAGCCCTACATGGAACGACAAGTTTGTGTTTCGTCTAGATGAGGAAGCTCTCTACGATGGGACATCAATAGTTGTTATAGAAATCTATGCATTGCATTGGTTCAAAGATATTCATGTTGGAACGGTACAAACGTTGGTCAGCGACCTTGTGAGCCCTTCTTCTGGTATGAGATTCGTTACCCTTGAGGTTCTTCGTGCCTCAGGCCGCCCTCACGGCCTCCTAAACATTGCCGTAGGGCTCATCGATAACTCGGGCCATAGCATGCCTCTTTTGTTCGAAGAAGATTTGATGTTCCACAAGACAAACATACCTTCAAAACCTGTAGGGCTTCGACGTTCCAAAAGCGATACAAGCTCAATGGTGGAGGTGACACAACAACAAACACGTGTGAGTTCTACTACAAACTCTGGTTTTGAGAAAGATGAGTTTTCGTCTGATTCTCAAATGGTTGTGTATGAGCCACCACAAAGAAAAACGCCGAGGCAAACAAAGCATATAGTTTATGGGACACCGATGAGGCCAAGGAACAAGAATGCTTATACTCCCAAAAGGAAAAATATTGAATATGGAACACCAATGAGGTCGAGGCCTGTCGTAATTACAGAGTCTGATTTGGGACCTTCAGCCTCAGTGGTTGCTGCTCAAATTGCGAAAGAGAAGGCTTTGACAGGGAAAGATGCAGAGAGTACTGTGATAAGCGTCGGCGAACGAAGCGTGGAGGGTCTCCGTTCTAAGCTAGAGAGGTGGCAAGCGAATTTACCTGTCGTTGTAGACGTTGGTTCAAGTTATCAACCAAGTTCTGACTACAAAACAAGCTCTAACTTCAAACCTAAATCAAGTTACAAGCCTAATGAAACTGTCCCACGAAATCAACAGATGATTGTAGCTCCTGTTCCAAAGCAGGTTGGGAGGAACAAGAAAGGAGGAGATAATGGATTGTTTTCATGTTTTGGTAACATTTGTGGCATCGAGTGTTCTATTGTTTGTGGTGGGTCTAGTGGACAGAAAGCATCCAAGAAGAAGAAGAAAAAGAAGTGAAAGTTTTCAAACCTTATTCCTTTCAATTATCGATGACTATTTTATTCCCATTATGTTTCTATTTCTCAAGCTTGTCGGTTTTGCTACTCAATAATCAAAATCTTAATAGTAAGACAGGGACAAAGGTATATTATTTTATTATTATTTTTTTTATAGTAAATAAGAAACTTTATTTCTCATTTCAAAAATATCAATATTCTTATGTCAATCATTTTTCATTAAGCGCAAATGTGTTATGTAAAGTTATAAACTGAATGTAAAATTATAATCAAACAAGCAAACAAAAACTCCTGTTACAATGAATGCATCTGATTTTTGGACTATATCTCGGATACTAAAATGATACAGCCTTGAATGGGCGTCTACTCCATGAATCACTTGAAGGAAAATGGGTATACTAGCTCTCTTTTTGATGGTCAATGGTCTTTACCCTAGATCTATGGGGTGTTCAAGTGTTGTTTAGGGATTCAATGGCTGATGAGTGCGCCTCGCTTGTAACCTTTGATGTTCACGAGTAGGAGGGCCTTTTAGTCTTAGACTTGTCATTGGGTTAGCTGAAAAGGCACGTGGATCTTCAGTTTTATTATGAGTCAATATATACTTGGTTTAGAACTCCCCCAAGGAAAGCATAACGATCAATGAGAAAATAATATGGATCGAGGAGGACCCAATAGTATATCTTACTTGATTCTCTGTTTGAGTGAATATAACAAAGGATGAGAAAACAAGAGAAAACGAGAATGATGTGAAACAGTGGAGCCAGATAAGATGGGGAGATAGTTTTGACTGAGAAAGGATCACGAACCAGTGGAGGGATTAAGAGATGGTTCAACAATCATGTTTACATCATGCTTCAAAACTTCAAAAAATAGCTCATAACACTTCAACCGTTTATGCTAAGGAGCTCAATTTAGTGTTTTTGGAACAGTTAAAACCCAAAGTAATCATGGCTTGATTTTTTTGTAATGTTTGCGGCTTCAACAAAATCATCAAACATTATGTTGATAAAAATAGACAAATAACAGTTTATAGTTGGATGCTTGCTAGAACACGAGTTAAAGAAAATAAGTCTCCAAAAATTATTAATTCAGTTCTCAAATATGTAGTTTATGTCAAATTGTGAGTTATAAACCGTTTAGATCACATTTGGATGGTATAAAGGCTAACTTGAAGCTCACTCGCCAATATTTATGAGCAGTCAAATGACAACATACTGAGTAAAGTTAGAGAATAATTGTCTTGTTCATTTACCAACACTTATAACTTTCAAGAAGAACATGAGGAACTCTGTAACGAGATACATAATCATCATGATGCCACATCAATCACGATTCACAAATAAGCCATGGATTATGTTAGGTGATTTTTTTTTTTTTTTTTGACGACTTTTGGATGGCTTCGCCGGGTAAAAGGAGATGAACAATTCTCGAGAATCAGTTAACATAACCCCATATGTATGAAAGAATTTAAGAATGTGATGCGACCTTTTCGCTGATGGATCTACATTATCTATTGTCGCTGAATTAAATGAGAAGTTTTAAAACAGACATCACAACTGCATTTGTGGTACATAAACAGAAAACATCATTGATTACAAGTAGGAAATAGAAACAACAAACATTTTTTCAGAAAACATTAGCTTTACAAGAACACATAATTTGTGAATATATTTTTCCGACTCTTTTTCATATTTATTTTTGGAGCGTGCCATAAAAAATAATTTAACTTTCAATTAAAAAAAAAAAATTATTGCCAAACTGAAGAAAAATACTGAATTCTTTAAAATGATTTTTTCATAATACTTTTAAATTCAAAGTATTACTAATAATTAAAGAATAAATGAAATTGATATGGAATTTGCCTTTTTGGCCCTATTGGAATTTACATTTAAATATATAATTTTTTTACGTTACATTCAAGGATATAATTGTTTTTCCCTTTTAACTTTTACGTTTCATTATGTTTTTAACCAAAATAAGTATCTTGGAATTTTTTAAAATCTAATGGTATTTAGAAGTTTTAACAAAAGAAGAAGGAAAAAAAAAGCAGACCAGTATTAGAGTTGTTCTATTATTAGTTGAGATCTCAAACTGAATAATATATTAAGATATTATCTGTGGCGGAGATTGGAGTGTTGAGTTGTCGTTTTACAGTCTTTAAGCGTGAGAGCTTCGAAGAAACACCATCAAATTCCTTTTATTTGCTAAATATCCATTGAGCTTAAAAAGACCACCGCTTCTTTGGGTTCTCATCTCTCCTCCTCTAAATTACTTCAATATCTCGTAGCTACTTTTTTTTTTTGAGAAAATCTGAAACCTCCACAAATCTCAAATAAGGTATCTTCCCTTTCCCTTCCCCTACTTCTGTGTTTATTATAAATTATCTCCGATTTCAAGATTTTATTGTGTTTCTTGTTTCAAACTTTAATTGATTAGTATTAATATCGTTTGTGCTTTACTTTCACAAAATTTGAACATTGATCTTGCTTTAAACTTGATGTCTCTTGTTTTTTTTAAGAACAAATCTTTTAGTTGAGATTTGATAAGAGTTTTTAGCGCTGTGTTTGTATTGCACGCAGGAATGAAATGAGTATGAGATCGCTGCGTAAATCGCCACGTAAACATGTTCTATCGCCAACTCTTCTCATCCTGATCACAATATTTCTCTTTGGTATCCTCACAAACTTCCAAACCTTATCATACCTCTTCCGCCCTCTCTGGGACAAACCACCACCACCTTTCAAACGAATCCCACATTACTACGCGGAGAACGTCTCCATCCCCCATCTCTGCCAGCTCCACGGATGGACTCCCAGGACAGAGCCGAGACGAGTCTTCGACGCCATCATATTCAGCAACGAGCTCGATCTTCTCGAACTCCGATGGCAGGAGCTAGGCCCCTACATTTCGAAGTTCGTAATTCTTGAATCCAATACCACCTTCACGGGCATCCCGAAACCGCTCTTTTTCGAATCCAACAGAGAGAGATTCGCCTTCGCGGAGAGTAAGATAGTCCACGGAGTCTTCCCCGGGAAGAAGAGTTTACACCAACAACAACCACAAGAAGATCCTTTCGTACTCGAAGGGCAACAACGCATCGCCATGAACTGGCTCCTCAGAGAAGCTGATGTCTCCGATGGTGACGCGGTGATAATGTCGGACGCAGACGAGATCCCGAGCCCTCACACCGTGAAGTTTCTCCAGTGGTGCGACGGGATACCTAACGTGATGCACCTTGAGATGAGGGAGTACATGTACTCCTTCGAGTTCCCGGTCGATTACAGTAGCTGGAGAGCCTCTGTGCATATATACAGCAAGAAATGGACTCATTACCGTCACTCGCGGCAAACGGACTTGATCTTATCCGACGCCGGGTGGCATTGTAGCTTCTGTTTCCGACGCCTCAGCGAGTTTGTTTTTAAGATGAAAGGGTATAGTCACGCGGATAGAGTGAAGCGCAAGGAGTTTCTAGATTACTCGAGGATACAGAAACATATATGTAAAGGGTATGATCTCTTTGACATGCTTCCTGAGGAATACAGCTTCAAAGATTTGATTAGCAAAATCGGACCCATCCCGCCTTCTGCGTCTGCTGTGCATTTGCCTGCGTTTTTGATTCGGAATGCTGCTCGTTTTCGGTTTCTTTTACCGGGAGGCTGTCTCAGAGAGCCTTAGCTAAAGTGTGGTTCTTAGTACAGATATAGAGAAAGCGATTGTTTCTTGTATAAAGAAAAAAAGGTTTTTTGGTGTCAAACCAACTTAATCCCAAAAACAGAAATAAAATAGATACTTTTATAACATCATGTTAATGTGTTCTCACTCTCGTACCAAAAGTTTTTTACTTAGCGACGAGCAAAACTGAATTTAAGGCAATCGTCTTATAACAAGAGAAAGTTAGAATTTAGAAGAGGTAAGCCGCATAGCTTATATAAGAAACTCAAAATACAATGAGAAAATGAAGATTGCACGCACACTCACCATTGTTAAAAACGCAAACAGAGTCGTTATAACTTGGAAACTTATTCAAAGTAAATTGGTTCGTAGTGTAAGAAATGTTTGCTTTAATTGTTCATATAATCTATATTATGATCATCCTACAAACATTGTAATATTGTAGAGATGTAGGGGGGAGATCCTCAAGATAGAATCCTTTCCAACGATGTTGACGACCACCGGTTACGGATGCCACAACGTGATCAAGACTTATCTAATTCCTAAACATGAGAATTGTCAACTTCTTGAATCAAAAACATGAGATTTAGTGATGAGATCCTCAATACAATATATTTAAAATCTGAAATTTATCATTGACAATAATCCAGAATCCAGTTCATCCTACTAGACATTCACATGGTCATAACATGATTGTCTCTCCTAACCTGATCTATCTGGCTCTGAATCTCTGATCTTTCAAAAGATCTCCTTGGAAGACCCAGTTCACATGTGGTGTCTTGCCTCAAGAACGTGTGGTGCCTGCTTCCTTAACATGTGATGGAGTAACCAGTAGAAGCTGGTTTATAGAAAAAAGGACGCTACTAACAAACCCCTTGTTCGAAGTTGGGTTGTTACCTTACAAACACAAGCATTTAAGCCGCTTGACTAAAATGATTTTTCGCAAATTAATAGATAATCTTGGAAGCCGGAAGCCCTTGCTTCTAAAGCTTCCTATCAGGGCCGGGACTGGGAGTAACATTGATCAAGCTGTCTGATTGCCGAGAAACAGTTCTTGAAAAATATGTTCCATGGGGAGAAATCATCAATGCCTGAAGATGAAGACAATGAGTGAAGATCAGTGATTGGTTGTATTTTGTCTGAAAGTTTATTCACTTATGCGGAGATATGAACTTAGGATCGTGTCGGATGTCTTGGTCAATTTTTTATTTTGGTTTTAAGACGATTGTTGGTTGTTTCAGAACCTTAAATCACTTTATACGTTGTAACTGCAGGTACCATGTGTTCATGTGTTCCTGTTTTCCTTTTAGAAACTTTTGTGTTATGCGTTGTGACTGCAGGTACCAAGGATGAGATGAAATGGATCATTCAGACCAAAAGGGAGAGATTATAATCTAAATAATATTGGAGCTTGAAGCAAGTGGACAAGAAGGGGTCTGAAGTCTTTCAAGGCTTACTTGCGGTACAAGTAAGAAGAGGAAACTTGGCTTTCAATAAGGTGGCGTGGCACCGAAGAAAATCCAAGTCATATCTCGCAAAGAATATGAAAGATTCAGAGGTATAAAAGAAGAGGAACCTAAAAAAGAGATTATGTTATCCAAAAATAGAGAGAGCATGAAAACTCGCAAGAAGACTAGGTATAGGTTTTTGTGAGAGATATCTGGAGTCAGAAGCAAACTTTGTTGTGTGAGAGATTCTTGGGTAGTTGGGTAGTTTGGAAGGGATCAGTTGTGAAACACGTGTGTGTTGACACATAAACTTGTGAACAAACATTGCAATAATTGTTCAAGAGATTTCTAATAAAGGATATCGATTGTGGAATTGCTCTTCGCCTGAAACTTTCATAAACCTTTGTTCTATGTGTTTTAGGTATCACTTGTTTTTCGATTTTATTTTGGAATGTTGGTCTTTACTGGTTCAAAGCCTCGCCTCTCATGCAATCCCAAGGTTGTGGTATGGTGTGTTTTAGTGGCTGATGATCTCTTCGCATGATAAGAGCATCATTTCTCTTGCTATTTCTCAGCCAACTTTACAAATACATAGTAGGTACAACTACAAAGGAGATGTTTAAGATCAAAGATATATCGACTAAGTGTTTAAGGATAGACACGCATGATTATAATACAAAGGAACACCAAAGATATTACAAATGACCAAGATATACTTTTTAGGACTAATTAATCTCTCTCAAATCACTCACTTGGCTTCGATTACAACACTTTCCAACCTCTTTATTTATAGTACAAGTTTTTCAATATACACCACACATAGTTGTCTAATACTTTTGTCAAACTTAGTGGACATAATATTTTGACAAAATATTTATTATTAATTATTTATTACCTTTATTATAAGAACTGGAACGCAATAGTTTATGAAACTGGAAGGAGCCTAATAGGCGTTTCCGCAATAGTTTTACCATTTCGGAGGATGTTTTGGTTCGGAAAATCATTTGGGTGCTTAAAGAGAAACTTTTGGCACTTAAGAACTGTTGGTGAAGATCTAGTGCGATTATGTTGTGGTCGTTAATTGTAATAGTTCTCTCTGTTTGTTAATTTCTTTCATCTTCTTTGTCTTCTCTTCCCTTGTTGCTTCCCATGTTATTGTTTTGAGGTGTTTTTTTTTCCTACTTCCATGTTTAAAACTTTTTCTTGTAAAGCTCATTTCATTTTTAACAAAAAAGCCTTTATAACAAATTAAAACAATAATATGAGATACTATTTCATTTGAGAGATTTAAATACACATAAACACTAAACTTAAAGCAAATATAATATGACAATAATTATTGTTCTATACAATTTTTGAACAAGAAAATTTTGATTTTTGAACAAGAAAATATAATATGACAATAATTATTGTTCTATAGCACATTTTGTTGGGATTCATCAAGAACTACGTTAAGGGATCTGTCTGGTACTTTGTCAGAATTTGGTAATGAATAAAAGAATTTTTGGGGGAATTTAACAAATAGGACATAAAACTTGATTTTAAATTCAAAAAATGTACTCTACATCAAATCAAATGCAAAAGTAACTAAAAAAGCTAATGAAATTACAAATATCCCTTCATGACCAAACAAAAAAACATGATTGTAGTTACCATTACAACCTTGCAAGTGAGAAGACTTTCAGGTAAATAATTTATAGATTACAGAAAAAATAATTTGATTAGTAAAAAATATTAATCATGTAACTATTGACATTTATAAATGATGTAAATTTAGATTTAATAAAATCGTATATTTTTCAAGATAGATGAGTGAATGTAATTTAGTTGTGATATTCTTTGGTTTAGGGTTTGATAACTATGTTGTAGTGCTGTATGTGTTTTTAGAGTTAGATTATGGAATCTTATAATTTGTATTTTTAAAACTAAATTTGACCTATATGTTTAGTTTTAAACACTATAAGTTTTTTTTTAAATTTTTTTTTAAAAAATTGTATGTAATTTAGTTATATATATATATATATTTAATTTTGCTGTTTTGGCAGACTTAAATTTGAAGATATAATGCAATAGAAGACTTACTGGATGACTTAACAACATTTTCACGTTTAAAATGTTAAAATAATTTAGTTTTCCCGCCTAAAATTAAGTCTTCCAATAATTCTTCTAAGTGTATTAGTTCTAAAGTAATTTATAAATTTCATAAAAAAATATTTTGATAGAAGAAAAATCATAATCATTTAATTATAAACCTTTGTAAGTGATATAAATTATGATTTAATAAAATTGAATTGTTTTCAACATAGATGAGTGAATGTAAGTTAGTCATGATATTTTTTGGTTTAGGGTTTGGTAACTATGTTATAGTATTGTATGTGTTTTAAGGTTAGATAGTGGAATCTTAATTTTTTAAAAAATTAAATTTGACCAATATGTGTTTAGTTTTGTGTATATTAAACACTTTATAAGTTATTTTAAGTTTAATAAAGTTTTTGTATGTGATTTAGTTCTACATTTGATTTTAGGATTTTGGAAGACTTAAATATTCGAAGATATAATACACTAGAAGACTTACTGAATGACTTACAAACAGTTTCCCACTTAATTTTTTTTAAAATTTAGGTTTCCCGCCTAAAGTAAGTATTCTAGCCGAATAGTAAATTTAGGTTCTAGAAGATCTTGGAAGACTTTCATGTAAGTTTTCTAATAAAAATAAAAATTTACACATTCTCTTACATGAAAGTCTTATGTATCGAAAATATTTAACCAAATTGGAATTTTTGTCTTCTTATATAAATAAAAGTTTACACATTATTTTTCTTCCTCTCAAATGGAGGCAGCAAAAATGTAATATTTCTCACACTAAAATGTTATAACCTCTCTCTAAACTATTTGAATTTGATAACACCAATATCAATTTCTCATTTTTATGTGTTTCTCACTATTTTATCTTTGTTTTGTAGGTTTTTCATTACATAGGTGTCATCTTTCACTCATTTAAAGGTATATCTATAGATTTTTTATATGTATATTTGTGTCTTTTATATATCAGATTCTAATAAGTTATAGATTCAACATAATGTGATTGTTTTAGTTATTATTTAAGCTTAAAAACATTGTCTTTAAAAAAAAATTCTTTGTTTTGATGTCATTTGAACGTTATTGGTAAGCAAACCTTTTCAGATTTGAGTCAGATATTGGAAAGACTTTCAGAAGACGTTCAGAAGACTTTCCTGGAAGTCTTCTGGCGTAGTCTTAAGTCTTCTGACGTAGTTTTAATTCTTCTGACGTAGTCTTAAGTTTTCTGACGTAGTCTTCTGATGAAGTCTTCTTCCACGTCTCCTCTTTCACAACAGATCTGAGCATTTTGGTAAGTTTTCATGTCTGATTTTTCTTCATTTAGTAATCTTTAGTTGCATAACTCTCTTATCTTTTTTTTCCAAACTAAAATTCTCTAACCTCTCTTTAATCCCTTTTTAAACATGAAAACATCAAACTTTATATCAATTTCTCTTTTCTTCCTTATGTCTTTCTTAATAGTTTATCTTATTTTTGCAGGTTTTTCCAGATATGAGTCAGACATTGGAAGACTTACAGAAGACTTTCAGAAGATGTTCAGAAGACTTTCAGAAGACGTTCAGAAGACTTTCTTGAA